GGGCAGGGCACGGTGGCTGTGCCTGAGGAAGACGGGGCCATAAAGGTCAGGCCAGGAGACCTGGGGAGGGGAGAGGACGCCGAGGAGGACACTCCTGTCCAATCGGACAAACGCAGCGGGGGAGGAAGGGGAAGACCTCGAAGCCCAACTCTGCCAGCGCAGGAGGCACCGGCAAACCGACGCCTGGTGTCTGTGTGGCTGCGGAACTGTGCTCCACAGGGTTTCCAGCGGCTGGTTCTGCAGACGGAGACCACCAGGCGTTTCCTCCTGGGTGCCCTGGGGTGGACTCGAACCTCCGACCTTTCGTTTGGCAGCTGGGTGTGTTTACCATTGGTGCCCCCTGGAGAGTCCCTGATGGTGGGAAGAGGTGGGAAGGCGGCATGGAGATGAGCAGGGACCGGACGGGCCGTTCTGTCCTGAAGCAACGTGAGCGGACGGCACAGGAATAACCTGGCTCTGGTTCCCGTCACGGAAAACAAAAGCCCGACTAAAGAACGAGGGCAGAGCGGGGCCAGCCGAGCGGGCCAGCAGGCAGCTTCGGGGTTTTCCCTCGGGGGAGGGGCCCTGGGCAGCCTCACTTCCATCAGGGAGGGGGTCTGATGGGCTCCGAAGAGAGGGCGACGGACCCGCGGCCCGGCCCGGAGGAGGGCCGGCCAAGGTGATCACAGGCTGCTCCTCAGGGCACTGGCTGGGGGCCTGCTATCAGCTGGCAGCAGACCTCCCGGTGGGTCTAGGTCTCAATCCTAGCACCTCTAAGGAAAGCTCCTGTTTCCTGGGCCTCTGTCCACTTCTGGGTGCCAGGCTGCCAGTGACCATATGGACTGGAAACCTCGTGGTGTCACCTTTCAGCCAAGTAACAGACCGGCCCACACGGTAAGTGACACCACCCATGAGACATGGGCTCCGTAGAAGGAGCAGGAAACAGACTCAACAGCGATGTCTGCCCCAAAGCAGGGACGGGCAGGGAACCTGGAGGGATGGGAACGGGGCAGGCGGAGTGGAAATGGAGAGGCTGACATGGCGCAGGGGCGGCAACCCGTGCCACGGACAATGCAGGAATCAACGGCTGAGCGGGGCGCCCAGCCGCTCTGTCAACTGCCACCTAAAACCCAGTGAGAAAAACCAAAACCAAACAAAACCACCTCACTGTGTGCCTGAAGGTCATCCTTGTTTCCCAGTGGGGACAAAGACCAGGATGTGGGTACTTGTGGAGGTGGCCTGGTGGGGTGGCCCATCAGCACTGCAGGCTGGGGCTGTCATTTCCACTGGGCCGTGATGCCCCTAGTGAACTGAGCAGCTGGGATGTTGGTACCCGAGCACAGCCCTGCCAGATGTCACGGAACCAGGAAGGCTGAGTGTAGACTGGACTCAGAGGGGCCTCCAGGGTGGGCAGCGTCTCAGAGGAGGGGACCCTGCCCTTGGCAGCTGACAGCCAGCAGCACAGGCTGGAGACTCAGCCCTACAGAAAACATGCGGAGAGCAGGGTGTGACCACGGGACCATGGACAATGTAGTAGGAGCCCCTGCCCTGGTGGCCTCATGGTGCAGGGAACAGCGCTCCACAGGGTCTGCGGTGGCTTTCTGGCAGTTCTTTCAAGGACACTCTGGTGGCCTCGAACCGCCAACCTTTTGGTTAGCAGGCTCTACAGCACTCAGGGACTCCCTCTTCCGTGTCCTAACCTCACAGTAGCAACCCCCCCAGGTGTCACCTGACTTTTGGGGACATGCACTTGTTAGGAGACACGAAACCGTACCATTTATGGGACCACAGACTCCGACTGGGGTCACTGCTCCCCCCTGGAGCTACTCATTGTCCCGGGATGATGGGACTGAAGGGACCCATGAGCGAGGTGAGGGCTGGGCCGGGCAGACCCTGTGTCCAGTACTGGAGACCTGTTCTGAGGGGATCAGAACCCCAGACCACTGTCTCTGCGGGGTTTTGTGGCCACTGAAGCAATTGGCTGGATCTGGGCCCCCCACTTCCCAGTTCAGCGACCACTCGGGTGGGGGGCTCTGTGGATGAGGAAATGGGGAAACAATGCACACCGACACGTGCTGCCTCTCCGTGGGGGGAATTTAAATTTCGAACGGGGCGGCTTCTTCAGGTTATGGGCCCTTCCTAGAACTTATGTGGGAAGAAGCAATGAGGACTCAGGCCCTTTCCAGACCGTACCCATGCCCACCTTCTCCCCGGGAGGCCCTAGCAAGGTTTGAGAAGAAAGAGGAGGGGACTGCCAGCAAAGACAAGACATCGAGTTTGACACTGAAGTACAAACAGATTCGCCTCGAGTCACCTTTATTTGAGAAAAAAATCACCCCTTCCTGGTTGTCCAAAGTTGGGTTCAAGACAGGAGGCCGCCTCCTGGAGCAAATGAACGTCGCCGAGAAGGACGCGAGGACGCGGCGCCGTGCCCTCCCCTGGGTTGGAGGGAGGGGAGGAACAAACCAAGCGAGCGATCACATTGTGGAAGGTTAAGCAAGAAAAGAAGTCATTTGGGAAAATATTATCTTATAAACACATAGAATAATATGTACACACTCATATGTCATATACATCCCCAAGAAGCCGTACAAGAATTCCTTTTTTTCCTTCCAGAGAAGGCTTCACTATGATAAAGCATTCCTATAGTGGGAATTAGCTACAATGAAATAATTTAAGATTTCCTTGGCGCTATATCTGCGTCCACTACGTAAAGGCTACGCTAAAGGCAGTGGGAGGTGAGCGTGTGTGGCTGGCTTAACAGTAACATGCGCTTTGAAAACAGACAATGATTTTTCTTCCCTTGTTCACATTTAAAGTAACTCCACAGTGACCAAACACAGAATCAGAAAAACGAATGGCAGGACAGTGACGCTGCCGTCACGGTTCTCAGACCTGCAGCCTCCGCACCTGCTATTCTCGGATACTGGTGCGTTCCACTGAGTTTAATTCAAACAAACAAACAAAAAAAATCTGTTGCTAGTGAGTCATTTCTGACTCATGCGACCCTAGAGGACGGAGGAGCACTGCCCTGTAGGGTTTGCAGGGCTGAAAATCCTCAGGAAAGCAGACTGCTTCATCTTTCCCCTGCGGGTCAGTGGGTGGGATTGAACAGCTGACTTTCTGGTTAGTAGCTAATGACTCAACCACTGTGCCACCAGGGTTTCCTACTGATTTTAACAGAGATCAGAAATTTCCATGAAAACTTAGCCACATATAAATTCTGGGTAAAGCTCTATTTTTTTTCCCACCAACTTCAATTTTTTTTTTTTTTAAAGTGGAAGAGGAGGAACAACTCCGAGCTGGAAGGTCTCGTTCCTAGGAGCCAGCAGAGGCTTTTCCGGTGGTGGCCGGCGGCCGGCCCTGTGCTCTTCAGCCTGCGGTCTCGCAGTGTGGCCACAGCCTTTCCCACCATGCTGCCACAGGCTCCAGGCCACGTGGCCCTCTCTTAACCTCTGTCCTGCCCCGGTTTGCTCTGTCCGACCACCGTGGAGAAGCAGCACAACCCCCAGATCTGGACAAATGCAGTGACCTATGCAAACCGAGAGCCTGGCCGCCAAGCCTGAGTCTTAAGGACGCTCGTGGCCCAGAGGGTGTCCCAGAAGAGCTGGTGGCTGGCATGGCACGCCTTTGCAGAGCATCCGGGCCTGGGATCTGGAAATCACCCTGTGTTGCCCTAGCCCTCCCCCCTGAGCAGCTGGAGTGGTGGTCGAGGGAACTCAGGCTTTGGCTCCTGGGAAAATCGCACCGCTCCCTCCTTCCCAATCTGCAGCGTCGCCTTGGCTCTCTCTGGGGCCTAACAAGCAAACAGTGCCCACAGCTGCTCCGCTGCTCCCCTCCCCCAGCCGCAGGTCACCTCAATGCAAGCGTTTAGGGCGCTGTAACCCACTCAGCTCAACTACTGCCCGGCACTAGTTCACATCTAGTTCAACTGATAAATTAAGAGGTGCCGATGGTCTGTACAAGAGTGGATGCATATTTATGAACGTCTTTTATTCAGAGAGATTTCCACACAGCTCCTCTAGAGACAACACAGACATCAAGCCGGGCAGCCGCAGGCCCTGGAGTGGCTGAGCCCAGCACTGGCCTTGGTCGAGAGGCAGGAAGGACGGCCTCCGTCGGGCAAAGCCAGTGCGGCCCGCACTCGCCCGGCTCGCCAAGCGGGCTGCAGACAGAGGCCCTTCCTTCCGTCTCAGAGGGACCCTCGTCTTCCTCCCCTCTCTGCTGTGACACCCAGGCGTCCGCTCGGTGACGCTCGGACTCACCCCCTCTTTGGACTGAGAAATTAAACAGAGACTAAATGATGACAGTGAATTTGGGAAGGAGGCTCCCAGGGCTGGGAGCGCAGGCCGGCTGACGCGCCCCTCGACCAGGACTGCAATCACATTCCGCGATCAGTGGAGCGCACCGCCTAACTACCTCCTCAGCTAATACGCTTTCTTCTGGGTGATGCCTAATCACGTTCTATTAACCATCGGCGACGCCGCGAGAACCCAACTACGCGGCGTAATGGAGCCACTATTCTCCGCGGACAGATTAGCTCCAACCGATTTGACACACACCATCATAGGAGCTTCAGACCTGACAAACTCGGGGCTGCCTTCTGATTTATGCCGTCAAGCTCCTCGGAGAAGAGCCCGCGTCCGAGGGCCCCGTCGGCCGCAGGTGAAGTGTTCGGATGTGCTTAACTGCCAGCCCAGGAGCGGGCCCTGCTCCCGGCTCCTCGGCCGCCCGCCCCCGGCCGGGCGCGCGGGCTGCCGCCCGGGGACCAGTCCCGCAGCGTCGTGTGCTATCATCAGAGGCCCGCGGCCCGCGGCCCGCCGGCGTCTCCCGCGTGTCACTGGGAGGTGGTAGGAAAGGGAGCAGTCCGGCAGCCTCCGGCCTCCTCTTCGCCCCCCGAGATGGCCGCTTGGTGCGATCTCACGGGGTGGGGCGGGCAACGGGCGGCGAGCGCCGGGAGGAGGGCGGGGACGCGGGAGGACTCACGTGCGGCCACTTCCGGGAGCGGCGCGGGGCGCCCCCTTCAGATGACGGTGGGCATCCGGCCGCTGCTGTTGTTGCGGTTGTTGTTCTTCCGGGGCAGGTTGGGCGTGGCCATGAGCGCGAAGCGCTCGTCAGGGCAGCCGTATTGGAGCAGCACGTCCACGCACTCCTGGCTGGAGGCCTGCCGGGCGTAGGCCAGAGCCGTGTTCCCGTGGGCGTCCCGGGCCATGACGTCCACGCCGTACTGCAGGCGACAGAGTCCCGTTAGCCACCCTGCTGCTGGGGGAGGGGCTGGGAGAGAGGAGTGATGTGGGGGGTAGGTGATAGGGAGGGGAGGTGGGGGTAGGTGA